CAGTGGTGTTAGAAGTCTAGCCTATCAATGAAATATTCACTGGTGGACTACAAAGGGGGAGATTATTTTTAATGATAAGATTCAGAACTTTAAGAAAAAGTGAAAGAGGTGGTTATCCATGAATTTAAATAATTTCATTTTAAATATTACTGAACTTGGAATATTACATTTCACTGATTACCCAGTAGTAATAAAACAGGATTGTATTTTTGCCAGGCATAGACAAACAGAGTTGCTGAACATGAACTAAGGGAGTTTCAACTTTCAGTAAACTTTTCCTTCTTGGAGAACTGTTAAGATATGGAGACACATACACATTTAGGAACTTACAAAATGTAGGTGCAAATAGTAACATACAAATCTATTATTATTCAGGAGAAAATATGCTGCTAGAGAATTAAACATATTAATTTCCATCCCTCTTTTGTATGTAAATGTTTACTGTGTCTTTCTCAAGAACTGGCAACTTAGAAATGCATTTTCCATGCTCCTTATAAATTCATTCCCTAAGGCTGCCGTTCTTGAAGCTTTAAGGGGGTTTTCATTAAAGCAGCCAGCTGCTTCTTTGTGCGGATTGGCTGTTTAAAGCTGCAGCTCTGAAGCTGGAGCCTCAGTTGTGACATTCTGTAGACCTTTAGCAAAGAAGTTCCATTCTGATGTTGAGGGAGGGAGGAGGTTCTCTACCAAATCAAACAGCTTGCTGGGAGTTAGCAAGGCAGCAGAAGGCACCTGACTGAAAGACTGGGACCAGAGGAAAGGGGAGGAGAAGAAAGAGGGGGAGGAAAAGGCAGGGAAGGAGATTCTAGGAACTCTTCCCTAAGGTGGACAAGGTTAGGACATGTTTTAAGACATGTTTAGACAATTTAAGTTCTAACTAGCCCGCAATAATAGCCACTCCCCTAATGGCCACCTCCCAAGAAAATTATCTTTGTTTTCTTTGCTCCCTGATTTCTATTATTCTAGTACTACTACTAATTATAATAATAATAGCATCATACAAATATCATCTTACCTCTTTTAATAACTGTATGGTTCTTGCTGAATGTATGGGAATGGTTATGGCGGATTTTCTGCCAACTCCTGGGACATAGATCAACAATGTTGTACATACGTGTGATGTGCATGTGGTTACTGGATGAGCCAGTCAAATTAGAGTTCAAATTACAAGGCCTGCACTGATCACCCAGGCGAAGACTTGAGACCGAGACCCAGGCCCGGCTCACTGTCTCAAAAGTGTGAAAGTGTGCAGGGTGCGTGTCTTCGTGCTGGTAGCGCGGCACATCCCAGCAGGAGGCAGTTGGCACCACTTCTTCAGATCAGTCCAGCTGAGAATGTCTACGTCGTAGACCCCTCCTTCAGAAACTAGGAAGATAAACTGGGCTGGCTTGGGCACCAGGGCCAGCTCACAGGGTCCCTCCCTCCTGTCCCCGCCGAAGCCCCCCCCCCCCCACCCGGACCCGAAGTTCTGCGCCAGAGGCGGCCAGGCCCGCACGAACTGCCTGTAACGCCTGTTCAGGCAAGGTCCTAACGAGTGTTCTTGAGAACTGTGCTGGAGTGAGGGAAGATATCAAGACACCTTGTCAGTTCAAAGCGTTTAGGGTTGTTTGAAATCCTCTCCACGTCAACGTAAGCAGCCTCTGTATTTGAACAGCTGCTTTGAACAGTGAAAGGGAATGAGCTGAATCAAAACCTGGAGGTGTCTGTGCCAGACACCTTCAACGTGCTTTTATGCGGGCGGAGAAAGGCAGGCAGACGGGTGGACTCTGCCCTGGCTGGGTCAGCCCAAAGAACGGCGCGGGGAGGAAAGGGTGGCGAGGTCTCCATCTAGAGCTAAATCCTGCGAGGGCCCGAGTTCCCAGAGCCCCCACCCCATCCTACCCCACCCTCCCGGGAGGCTTCGAGCCCGGGAGACTGGCAAACAAGCCGAGGCTGCTCAGGACTCGGCGTTCGCGCCAACCGGGCCCCAGGCGACAGGCGGGGAGGCGCTGGTGGCTCCAGGGGAGGTGGGTCTCCGAGCCGCGGTGCGCGCCCAGCTCGGTCAGCACCGCGATTGGCCCCGCTCCGGGGGTGGGTGGTGAGAGGCAGAGGCTGAGGTACCGGGCGATGGCAGAGTGGGGGAGGTAGGGCTTTGTGGACTCCTGGGTATTTATTGGCTATATTAAACCGTAGAACCACCCGAGCTCGCGCTGTTGGGAACGCTTTGGCCCGTGCACCAGCCAGCAAAATAACGCAGGGTTGTGGGGTAGGGGTAGGGGTAGGGGTGGGAGTGAGTGGAGACCTGGGACGTCAAAGCGGGAAGGATGTCAGAGCATGAATCGCCAGACAGGAAGTTTTGATGTACACGTGCAGCCTATTCTCGCCCTTCCACACTAGCGCTGTGTACCGGGTGCGGGGTTAGGGACACAGAAGGAGAGACGAAGAGAAGGGACTTTTTAACAGACTCGGAGCCTGGCCGCCTCATCTCCCTCGGAGATGCGCCCGTATACTTCATTCTTCCCTCGAGTGTGTCATCTCTACAGGCTGCCAAGGGCCTTGCCCCTCGCGGATGCGTGAAATTAAATCCAGACAAAAGTAGGCGCGTTCGCTGAGAAGGTGCTAAAGGGTGGGGGCCGAGGTGCTTAGCACCCAGACGCAGCCCTTTCAAATGCCAGGATTCTTCCTTATCCGGGCGCTCCCAGGAAGAAGGGAAAGAAACACGCGGCGGCGATGGCCTGCGCGCTCCTCAAGGCTGAGGGCAGGGGGCGGGGAGCCGCGCGTCCAGCGCTGGGGACGCCAGGCCCGAGGTGGGAAGAAGCTGTCCTGTCTGCCACCCAGCCCTTTCGCTCGCTGTCGAGGAGCCGCGGGCTCCAGCCGCGGAGTCTGCGCGCTCAGACGCTCGGGCTGGAAATTGTTTCTTAGCGAAGCAAGTTAGAGGAGTCCTAGCGGCCCCCAGGCGCACGGCCAGAGTGCCGCCGCGCTTGCGCTGGGACCGAGCGCCACGCCGAGGGTGTCCTTGCCTCGCGGCGCGGGTGCGCGCGTGGCGGGGATGCGGGTCCGTCCCGCTGGCGGCCTGTGGGCTGGCCCCTCCCCTAACCTCTCTCTCTCTCTCTCTCTCTCTCTCTCTCTCATACACACACACACACACACACACACGCTCATAAACACAGGACACGTGGAAATCCTCAGCCCAAGCGCCTTGCCCGGGCGGGTGCTCAACGTGGTGATTTATAAACAGCTCAGCCACTCCCCAAAGAGCACCGCTCCTCATTAGTCATGATGAATTTTCTGGCCCGCTCCACTCTGCTGTCTCGACCAAGATGCTTGGCGGTCCCAGAATGCTTCCTCTGAGCCTTGATTTGTTTTGGTTTCTCTCACAAGCGCGCGACCGCCGGCAGAGCCAGAGCCAGCGCCCCCAAAGTGCGGGGTCAGAGGAGGTGCGGAAAGAGTCGCATCCACTGGGGTCTCTTTCCCTCCCCAGCAGTAACTTTTGGTTCGCTCCGTAAGACCGGAGCCGCACGCCTGGCCCTGCCTAGCGGGCGGTCTCTATGCCGCTCCGGCCCGAACGCGCGCCCCGCTGCTTGCTTCCCGGCTCTGCAGGCTCCGAAACTGGCCGCAGGACACCTGCTCCGGCGGCTCCGGACCTGACCGCGCGGCGCGGGGCGCTCGCGCTGGGCAGGGCGGCGCTGCGGGAACCCTGTCAGCAGCCAGGATCCCGAGTGCACTGCTGGATGCTGATCACGGGAGCTGGGCGGGCGAGTGAGAAGTCGGTTACAACAACCCGGCGCTCGTGCCCGTAATAGTTACGGACCCAGCAGGTTCCCCTCGCCTCAGCCCCAGTGCGCGCACACACTCACCCCCCCCCCCACCCCCATGCCGGCTTTTGAAGCGACTAACGGAAAAGTTGTGTCGACGAGCGCCGGGTGTCAGGGGGACCGCGAGCGGTCGCAGGCCCCTCCGCGCGGCTTCCGGGAGCCGCCCTTCCCGACCCCGGAGCACCCCTCTCCAGCTCTCCTGCAGCCTCCCGCCCCGCAGAGCTCGGCCCAAGCGGGCTCCGAAACTACGCGCGCGCCCGAGCGTGCGTCTGGCGCGGAGACTTCTGGAGTTTTTGCTGTGTTTTCAGGGCAGACTCTGAGCGCCTGGGCAGAAGCGGCTCACTCGCCGCCGCACCGACTGAGCCTGCCGCTCGCGGAGTCCCTTCGCCGGGGGACTGGGAGACAATTGGGCCTGAAACCCAAAGAGGAAGAGTCAGCTGCAGCGGCGGACCGGAGAGGGAAGGAGAGCACCTTTATGATTTGGGGGCCAAAGTATCCGCACACCTTAGAGCAAGAGGCGCCCGCGCCCTGAAATTCTAACCTTGGGGGGTAAAGGGAGCTTCAACAAGGGGAGAAGTCTAGCTCCTCGCTGGTGTGCGTGTGTGTCCCTAGGTGAATAAAAATAGGACTCCTGCTGACTCGGTGCGACCCAACCTTTCTCCTCCACATCACCACCACCCCAGCCCTACTGGGGAAAGAAAATGGAACCCACCCCCAACACACACACCTCACCCCTCCCCGGCCCCCATCCAAGTATTCCAAGTGGCTGCGGTCGATAAGAGCGCTGGGACCGCCCCCCAGCCCGGCTTCTCAGCCTGGGAGACAGATGGGGGGCGGGGCCCATCCTAGAAGGGGCGGAGGAGGCCCAGGGTGGGTAAGAAAAGAGGGGGGGTGAGAACTGAGAGACTCTGAATCGGTAGGCGAGGGGGCACCCGAAGGAGGGCCGGGAGGACTCTGCGCCCGGGGGGAGGAGGAGGGGGCAGCTCTGCACCAATCAGTGTCGCCGGCCTGGGAGGTTGCTAGCGGTATCCACGTAAATCAAAGGGCGCGGAGCCAATGGGAGGGGGCGGAGGGGGCGGGGCCCAGGCGCGTGCCGCTGCGAGCCGGCGCTGCCAAGAGAGCGGGAGAGAGCTGGAGAGAGCAGGGAGAGGGGGGAGTGCCGAGCGAGTCAGAGAGTGAACGAGAGCGAGAAGGAGGGAGAGGAGGAGAAAGAGCGAGGGCGGGCGGGCGGGAGGCGGCGGCGGCGGCGGCAGTAATAGGAGCAGCAACAGAAGGCGTCGGAGCGGGCGTCGGAGCTGCCCGCTGGGGGAGAGAGAGAGAGAGAGGAGAGAGAAAGAGAGCGAGCGAGGAGAGGGAGCCCGAGGCGAAAAAGTAACTGTCAAATGCGCGGCTCCTTTAACCGGAGCGCTCAGTCCGGCTCCGAGAGTCATGGCGACCGCAGCGTCTAACCACTACAGCCTGCTCACCTCCAGCGCCTCCATCGTGCACGCCGAGCCGCCCGGCGGCATGCAGCAGGGCGCGGGGGGCTACCGCGAGGCGCAGAGCCTGGTGCAGGGCGACTACGGCGCGCTGCAGAGCAACGGGCACCCGCTCAGCCACGCTCACCAGTGGATCACCGCGCTGTCCCACGGCGGCGGCGGCGGCGGCGGGGGCGGCGGCGGCGGCGGGGGCGGGGGCGGTGGCGGGGGCGGCGGCGACGGCTCCCCTTGGTCCACCAGCCCCCTGGGCCAGCCGGACATCAAGCCCTCGGTGGTGGTGCAGCAGGGCGGCCGCGGCGATGAGCTGCACGGGCCGGGCGCCCTGCAGCAGCAGCACCAGCAGCAGCAGCAGCAGCAACAGCAGCAGCAGCAGCAGCAGCAGCAGCAGCAGCAGCAGCAACAGCGGCCGCCGCATCTGGTGCACCACGCCGCCAACCACCACCCGGGGCCCGGGGCATGGCGGAGCGCGGCGGCCGCGGCGCACCTCCCGCCCTCCATGGGCGCGTCCAACGGCGGCTTGCTCTACTCGCAGCCCAGCTTCACCGTCAACGGCATGCTGGGCGCCGGCGGGCAGCCGGCCGGGCTGCACCACCATGGCCTGCGGGACGCACACGACGAGCCGCACCACGCCGACCACCACCCGCACCCGCACTCGCACCCGCACCAGCAGCCGCCGCCGCCGCCGCCCCCGCAGGGCCCGCCGGGCCACCCGGGCGCGCACCACGACCCGCACTCGGACGAGGACACGCCGACCTCGGACGACCTGGAGCAGTTCGCCAAGCAGTTCAAGCAGCGGCGGATCAAACTGGGATTTACCCAAGCGGACGTGGGGCTGGCGCTGGGCACCCTGTACGGCAACGTGTTCTCGCAGACCACCATCTGCAGGTTTGAGGCCCTGCAGCTGAGCTTCAAGAACATGTGCAAGCTGAAGCCTTTGTTGAACAAGTGGTTGGAGGAAGCAGACTCGTCCTCGGGCAGCCCCACGAGCATAGACAAGATCGCAGCGCAGGGGCGCAAGCGGAAAAAGCGGACCTCCATCGAGGTGAGCGTCAAGGGGGCTCTGGAGAGCCATTTCCTCAAATGCCCCAAGCCCTCGGCCCAGGAGATCACCTCCCTCGCGGACAGCTTACAGCTGGAGAAGGAGGTGGTGAGAGTTTGGTTTTGTAACAGGAGACAGAAAGAGAAAAGGATGACCCCTCCCGGAGGGACTCTGCCGGGCGCCGAGGATGTGTACGGGGGGAGTAGGGACACGCCACCACACCACGGGGTGCAGACGCCCGTCCAGTGAACTCGCGCTGGGGGAGGAGCAGAGCGCGGGGCTCCCCCTCCCCTTCTGTCTGTGGCCCTTTCCAGGGGGGCCCTCCACCCCCACCCCGTTGTTCCCTCTCTAACTTCTGATTGTTCTTTTATTTTTAATTATTATTCCCCCGTCCCTCCAAAAGAAAAATAATAAGGAAAAATGGAAAGCAACTGAAACACTGGACTATCCTATGAGCGGTAGCAGGTGTAATGATGTGTTTTGACCATTGCAGGCGAATACCCAGGCAATGGAGTGAATGGAGTGTCTCTTAGAGTGAGGAGTGTGTGATAGAGAAAGAGAGCGAGAGCGAGAGCGAGAGCGAGAGAGAGAGAGATGGCAAGCACTGAGATAAATACCTGGCAAAACTAAATCACTTACCAAAAAGGAAGAAAATCCAGCAAACCATGATAAACACAAAATGCGGCTTCCTCATGCTCTGAGTTGGCACATGCTGCTGTGTTTATTTCTGTGGATCCCCATCAGGGAGGAGGGAAGAGAAATATCCATTTTTTTTTTATACAGGCAAGATTTAACCACATAAATTTGCACTGCAAGAAAATTGAAGTTTACATGAACAAATTCGTGAACATATTTTTCTTTTTCTCCCCACCATTAATTGTAGAAAGTTGCCGTTTTGGATTTTGTTTTGCTTTGCTTTATTCAGCGGACAGAGTTGAAGCCAGCTCCTGACCACTCTCCATTTCCAGTGCTCTTGTGTTGCTCCTTGTTCTTACTGTCTGTGAACTATGGTTATCTTCAGATCCCTCTTATATTTGTGTAAGATGTATTGTTCCTTTTACCAAAGCAACACGGTTGGCTTCGTGCAACATGAGCAGTTATCTGCTTTCAGGACATGCCCATGGTTTGCCCGCTTCATCCAAGGCAAGAATCCACTTTGGAATATAAAAATAACAGTCAAGTATTGGTTTTTGTTACCAGCCACAAAGTAAACTTCATTTTCAGGCAGTGTTTCTGGGGTAGGTTATGGAAGGGAGAATCAAGAAAAATCGATAGTGAGTGACTGATTGCTTCATTTTATCAGGCGGGCCCATTGTGAAAGAGCTCAGAGGAAATGTGGAGGTTAAATATATTTCCAGAGTTGTCCAATAGAAAGAAAGTGGCACTTTGAAGAGAACTGGGGAAATATATATATATATATCTTTGGATGTCCCTGAATAGTTCTCTGCTTTCAGTTTTAATAACTTAATTATGAGCAATTATTTATGCTGACAACAGCAAATTAAACTTTGTTCCTCTAATAAGTTTTTTTAAAAAAAAGCAAAAAGAAAATAACCCAGGAACTTAATAGGGTATGCAGAGAGTGTGTTTCTTAGCACACAAATACCTATATGCATACATAGAATATCTCCACTCAATTTTGTCTTCACTGGCTCATTTGTTTGTCAAGTCATAGCCAAGGTCCCACACTGTCTTCTCCGGTACTTTATTACAGAAATACCGGTTTGACTTGGACAGAGCTTTCTCCTCCCTTCTTTCACTAAGGAAGCCAAATGAAGTAGGGGGGAAATACCATTTTCAATCCTTCCTTTCTCCCCTTTGTTAGTAGTTTTAAGTGCATTTTTGACCTTACCTTGATGGAAAGTGGTTAACTCCCAACACAAAAGACTCCACTGAGAAGTGTCTGTGAAAAAAACTTGTAACTGTATTGAATATAAATACCATTAAACTGTGATCAGTTAATATTAAAAAATTATCAGCACAAAAGGGCACTAAAAAGGGAAAACACTTTTTATTAACCTTAAAAGTTTGTGTTTTTTTTTTTTCTGGTTAGGTATTAGACAAAATTTTATTTTAAAGGTTGAATTTTCACTACCATAAAATTATGGTTCAGCATCAGATTAGCATTGCACTCAGTAGTTAAGGTTTTAGGAAATATGCTTTATACAGTATTGTCTTTTCAAACACCTGTGATTGTTTCATTTCTAATGTTTTTGCAAGATAAATGGTGACTTATAATGGGCATATTTATTTGCCTGTATTTCATTTCCCCCAATGAATGTCACTAGGAGATGGGCACTGAGCTGCTTGGGGGGCATCACACAGCTTGTTCCTGAGTAGGGGAAGTAGGCTTTAGTGAAGCAATCCAGAGCAGGGCAAAGAGCCAATGGGAAAGGGAGGAAATGAATTTTCAGATACTTAGTACCAAGTAGGTAAGGTCAGAAGCTGAGTTTAGGGGATGTGTCTATGGCTCCTCTAAAACTCTCCTAGGTTTACTCAGATGAAAGTTACCTCTGAACCTTACCACTATGTATATATGTTTAATATCTGTCTTTTGAAATGCAGAAATAGTTTAAATGTTCCTTTGTCTATTTTTCTTTTTTTTAATGCTACCCAGGGAAATATTTTCATATCATTTTTAAGTGGCCTGCCTCAATGTATATTTATTTCTTTTGAAGCAAAAAGGTTCTGGAAACTGTTTTTCTGTAGCTTTAAATGAGTAGGTGAGCAAAATCTATATGGGATGTAATTTTTTTTGTTCAGTCTCTTTTAAAAAATACTTTGTTTTGGTACATTTGGTTGTGCTTGTGGGGAAAATAAAAACGCAGAGATCCTTATATATTTATGTTAAAGTAATATTTTATTATCTACATAAAACAGAAATGCACAATACCTTCATAGTTTGTTCTAATTATTGAAATATCTTTATTTTATTTTTAAAGATAGTACCAAGTTTTAAGGGAGGGGGGGACCCTAGACCTTATACTGACTGAGTTGAGTTGTGTGTAAAACACTTCCCTTCCTTTATACTTCATAAAGTTTTGGAATAAATTTTATGCGTATATTGCCAGGTTTCATGTTTATAACTTTCAGAGGCTTTCTTCTTCTTCTTCTTCTTTCTTCTGATTCATTTTTCTTTGCAAAAACTATCAGTCTCAAATCTTTCAGTCACTATGCCTGTAGCATTAAATCAAAATAGTTCCTGGATTTGAGCTTCAATTTGTTTGCCTTTCCATGGTTCCACAAAGAGACATTTGTCCCCTTTAACTGTATGCAGCCATTTCTGCATCTTCTTCCCAGGTTAGCTGAACCTTATTCAGTTGTGCTGTGTTGGAGAGGATCAAGGGAAGGAGGTAAACTTAAACTTTGATCTTCACCCATAGGTCTTCACATATTTTGAGATCCATAGAAAAGTAGGGCTTTTTATAGGGGGCTTTTTCTTCTTAACAATTAACAGATATCATCCAACAAAGAGTAATCCAGACAATATGCTGTGTATGTGTTTATCAAATGCTTAGAAATAGAAATGACATATTATCTGCTAGGATTGCAGAAAAAGATAGATTTTGTAATGATTTGTAGAGCAAACAAACAGGCTCTCACAGAAGAAAGGTGGATAAATAGGAACCTACGGGAAAGACTCAAGTCAAGATGCTCCTATCAGATATTCCAGGCGTTCTTAGATGGAAGCTTACATTTGCCAAAATCAGTCTTAAGGTTAATGAGAATTCCAAATGGTGTTGGGTTACTTTGCAGGTTCACTGATGAAATTAAAGTCCTTCTCGGAACACTGGTTTAAGTTTAAATGTCTGTTTTGAAAGGTAGTACTGGGCTTATTACATCTCATCATCTTTTCTAACTCCTAGTCAATATTGCAAGGGTCCCAAACAGATTCAGCCAAATGATCTTATCAATAGACTGAACAAGAAGTGACAGAAAGAAGAAGTGTTTTGTGACCACAGACATGCTGATGGGTAAAATGTTTAAGCCGGGTATGGATTTGAGTTCTGGGTCAATATCCCTTTGCTGTAGGCAGAAAGCAAGCAGCATCTGCCCTCTGCAGGGCATTTTAGCGGACCTTGAGAAGGCATTTTTGTTCTTAACCACAGGGGCTACCGAATGGAAACCTTCACATGTTAAATGAACACACCATAGTTTTGACCCCCGCTCGCCGCCCTTCAGATCCTTACCACTTGACTAGTTTCCACACCCTTTTGGAGAGTATATCACACACTAACATGGAAAAACTCCATCACTAAGGCTGTGAGAAATCTGTCATCACTAGATATTGGCTGGCCACAAGGACAAACCCTTTTTCCCTCCTGAAGACAACAAAGCAAAATGTCATCATCCTGATAGAGCTCTTGTATTTCCTCAAAATATGTCACTTGTAAAATTTATGATGTAACATGGGGGAGAACCGATCATGTGATAGTCATGCGAAGGTCAGACAGAGGCAATGGCTGCAAATAACATGATGCTTGTCATTTCTGAACATTCTCTGTTCCCACGAAGTAACCTCCTTTGTATTTCAGATGGCAGCAACAAAAATACTCTTTGCTTCCTTTCCCTTCCTGTTCCTTCCTGTGGAGGACACACAGTGGTTGGCAAAATTTTCTGGTGAAATGACTTGATAAAGGCACTCATCTTTCTATCTTCTTCTTTGTCCAAAAACAGCTAATAAAGAGAATGCAACAGCAACAATGAGGGAGAAATGGAATTTGGGTGCCTTGGTACCTGTATGCATATGTCTATGTGCTGCAATTGTTTGCCTTTTATTTTCCTTAATATAGAAGCAGCTTGGACAGTGCTGGGGAGTGAGGTGAAATTGTCTTTTTATCACACCTCTCTGTGATTTGTCTGTTGATTATTTAAATCAGTCTATAAAACTCAGTTCTATGTTCTACTGGATTCCTACGCAAGTTTAAGAACGAGGTAAAGAACAGCTTGTATAGAAAAGGAAGGAAGGATGGAGAAGTGAGGGTCAAAGCAAGTGTTTCTCCAGGTATGCTTGTGTATCTCAACGAGTAAGGTAAAGGGACAGTGTTTATTTAAAATGAAAGGAAAAGAAGCATCTTAAAAAGTACTGTGAATCCTGACAGTTTGGCTGGGTGTGATGTACAGCTAAGTTTCATGTAAACATTCTCTCTGTTTAGGAAAGTTTACTTTTTTAACAATGCATAGACTCTTAACAGGGGCCAGAGAGAACCAGGGCTTCTGATACCTAGTCCACCACTTGATTCAAGATAGGAAACAATGCAAAAGTGGCAGGGGCCTGCCACCCAACTAGCAAATCATGAACTTCCCTGGCCCATGGTGGCAGAATGAGGGCCTCTGTTGTTTCAGTTTCCTCTTAGGCAGAGCTGGGGAGGCCGTGTAGGAGTACCAGAGAATGGTTTTTTTGTTTTGTTTTGTTTTATTTTTATTATTCTTAAAGGCTTTGCCTGGTTGTGAAGATAAAGAAACAACCAGGATATTTTCCGAATTGTTCTGGTCTTGGGGAGGAAGCTAGGAAATTTGTTCCTTCATTTTCTATTTCTAGAAGAAAAAAAAAAGTTAATTAACTTTATCTGTAGGACCCTTCCTTTACCTTAATAACACCTCCACTTAGGTTAGCAGTTAGAGGTCTCAGAAACAATACCACCTTCCATCAAAATAACCCTGGTCTCTCTCATTGTTCTTGAATTCGGATGGTAACATTAAGATGGATTTCCCAAAGAAAAAGAAAGAAAGAAAGAAAGAAAGAAAGAAAGAAAGAAAGAAAGAAAGAAAGGTCTGCAATGTTATTTAATACACTAGTCGACATGCATCTGTGTCTTAAAGTTTATTCCTTCCACGTCTTTCTGAGTTTTTATAGCTCTTTGTCTAGGACTTGGGGGGCGGGGGGCCTTCCATCTGCGTTTGTGCGGGAAGAGCATAGGCTTTGGCGTGGTCTGTAGTTGGCGGCAAACAGCTCTCCCCTCTCGGAATGGGGAACTGTCATTTAGAAAACAGAAGAAAATAAATGCCCCCACAAGGCCGTAGTTGTCATTGGTTTTAGAAAGACTGGGGAGCATCAGGACCCCGTCTGAGCGATATGGAGGGGATTTTGATTGTTATGAATTGTATACGATTAACTCTCAATGTGCCAAACGCAACGATGCCAACAGGACACCTCGCTGTGATGTAAATTTGAATTTGCGTCCTTTTTCATTTGAGCCATCTATTTTGCCTTCCACCAGTGTTTCCTCTGGGTTTGTTGTTTAAAAAGAAAAAAAAAACTACAGGCACGGAGTTTGGCAGTAGAATGAGAAGAAGAAAGTTTCTTTTGGGTTTGCAACACAAATTCACCATTGTGAATCACTGGCCGTTAAGATCCGGACAAATCCTTGTGGAGCGTGTTGGGAGCGTTTCCCTCCTCCTCTTAGGAAATCTCATTCCGTCACAAGAATTTTTAGGTGACCTTTCATGTACCACAGCACATGATCCCGAGGAGAATTATTTGACATTAATAACTTTTGGTTGCTGTTGTCCTTCTAACAAATATTCCTTCCAAGTTGGTCAGCGCCTGGGCAAGGCGGTCGAGGGTGCTGCTGGCCGGCCTCTTCTGGGCGCTCAGACTCCAAAGAGGCGCCCCGCAGCTCGGGCACCCCGGCAGCTGACCCGAGTCGCCGCGCAGGGAGGGCACCCATGCCAGAGGAGCCGAGCACTGGCAGGACTCCCAGGCTTGGCCTTCGCTACTCCGGGGCCCTTGGGTGCTCGCCTGGAACTCGGGATTCTCCAGGGCTGCCCAGACCTCGTGGGAAGGGTCCACAGCTCCGGCGTCCTGGGCCACCCCTACTCTGTCCCTTTCCAGGGAGACCCGTGTGGGTGCGTGTGTGTAAGGGGACCGGGGAGATGGAGGACGGGTGTGGTCGCTCTTCTGCCCGAAGCTGAGGATGGAGGTGGGGGTTGAAAGTGCAGAAGTCTTGGGGTGTGCCCATTACTCCCCGGGGTGGGAACCTGGTGCCGGGTTGGCGCGGCCTCTCCAAGCGGCGCGCGGCAGGGGCAGCGGCGGTGGGGCAGGAACTGGAGAAGGGGGCTCAGACGCAAGAGAATCTCCTAGCTTTCTGTCTGCCCAGTTTTTCCGCTTGACTCTGCAAAGTCAGGCCCAAGACGCTGGGAAAAGGCGTCCCAAGGCAGCAGGAGAGAAGAGTCAATTGCAGAAGATCTAGGGAGGGAAAGGGACCACTGCCCGGGATGCCGGGCGGTTAGGGGATTTCCCAGGGTGGCGAAGGGGACTGCCAAGGAGGGCCAGACAGCGAACTTCTGAGCCGGTTCCTTTCAGCTACTGCCCAGCAAACTTCTGGCCTCCAGCGGAGAGGAACCTACTCCCCACGCGCAAAGCGTGAACGAAAACGACCCTCCAGAACGCGGTCACTCCCCTGCTGGGCCTCAAGTCGGTTTCCAGAAGAATGGAAGTCAGGAGCCCCTGTGGGTTACCCTGTGACCCCACCCCGACGCGGAGGTCCTAGGGAAGCGAGAGGCCGCGCAGCAGAGCTGGAGGCCGGGAGCCCATCTTCGCACACTGGGCACTCGCAGGGCCGGCGGACGCCCCCACTGCGCACTGCGAGGCCCCCGAGGGGAGCAGCTCTGTGGGAGGAAATCCCGCAGCTCTTAAAAGTCTCGGAGAAGGGCGCCGGGAATTCTAAGTCGACCTTTTCCATCCTGGAGGAGGTGAGGCCGGGTGGGGGACAGAGGTCCGGGGGGGGGGGGTGTAGCCGAGCTGTGCAGCAGGGCCGCAGCCGAGGGTTGTTGGCTGCGGAGGGGCCGGAAGGCGACCTGGGTGCCAAAGCAGGGGGCTCCTGCGGGGCGCGGGTCTGCGCCGGGCGGCTGGCCTGGCCTCGGCCCCGCGCGCCAGGGCCTCCTGCTTGCTCCTGCCGCGCCCGCCCGCGGCCACTCACCGGGCCCAGCCGCCAGCCCGGGCGGGGTCGCGCGCAAACAAGGATGCTTCTATTTACTCGCCTCTGCCTGTGGATTTCGAAGACATTCAGCAGGCACAATCATTAAACTAATTTGTATTTGATTGTTTGGGCGGACGGAGGG